GGGGGGGCCACAGCCTCCTCTGCAGGGGGCACGTCCTTCCCTGGGGTCGGGAGGCCACAGCCTCCTCTGCAGGGGGCACGTCCTTCCCTGGGGTGGGGGGGACACAGCCTCCTCTGCAGGGGGCACGCCCTTCCCTGGGATGGGGGGGGCCACAGCCTCCTCTGCAGGGGGCACGTCCTTCCCTGGGGTCGGGAGGCCACAGCCTCCTCTGCAGGGGGCACGTCCTTCCCTGGGGTGGGGGGGCCACAGCCTCCTCTGCAGGGGGCACGTCCTTCCCCGGGGTGGGGGGGCCACAGCCTCCTCTGCAGGGGGCACACGCCCCTCCCACCACACCGGTAAACAAGCTGCAAGAGAAGCAACAAGTGTGGACAATGCTTTCTATCTGCTGAATGTGAAAAAACAAAGTCACAGAGGAACAAAAATGAGTCTTTAAGCAAACCTCACCTTCACTGCAGACTTCCCACTGGAAGGCAAGTCAGAGGTGCCGCAGTGGGAGAGTGTTAACCCACATACATTAGAGACAGAAACACTAAGAAGCCATCATGTCATCCACTCAACAAATACCAGGAGCCAAAACTATGGAAGAACAGAGAAGCCCTGAGGGGACTACCGCCAGTGGGAGAATCCGTGCGCTTCTGTGGTTCTGTGGGATCTCTGTGTGTTTGGATTAAGAGGGCCCATGACGGGGGACTCAAATACGTGACTCTGAGGCCCAAGTGGGGGACAATGTGAGTCCTCGCACAGCTGCTCAGAATTGGGAAGCCTGAGGGCTCATTCCAGTAGAGGGAGGCTCCGCTCATTTCGCCTCATTACGCTAAGCTATCTCAACGGCCCGTAGAACTGAAGATTATTCCATCAAACAGAGAAACCAACAGGGTGTTTGTTCTGTACCTCATAGATAAGAAGGGGCAGGGGGCACCGCTAAGTACCTCCACTGGGGTACCCTGCCAACAATGGGGCAGGGTTCCAGGGCCTCAACTGCAAGAGACCTGGATGGGTCTCCTGGGTGAGAAGAGGGAGGGGGGCCACGGGAGGGAGAATCAAGTGCACAAAACAGGGAGAGAGAAAGCAGACCCCGAGTGTCCTTCTTCAGCTGGAAGGTGCCAGGACCCAGGGGTGTATGGAGGAAGGCCCCTGCCCCTGCCCCTGCCATGGAGTGTGGCCCACAAATGACTCCAGAGCAGCCTCCAGGCCTTCGTGAAGTTTCCCAGCAGAGACTCAGCATTTTCTTAGCGGCCGTCAGTAGATGAGCGTCGGATCCGGATGCAAGCAACAAGTGGACTGGAGCAGAGGCAACCAGAGAGCATTCTTGAGCAGGACCTTTCGTCTTTCTGAGCTGCTGCGTCTCCTCATGAGACGGGAGAATTCTGGCCACTTCGCCGGGTTTTATGACAAGTGAGATAAATGTGGTATGGCTCCAACAATTAACAAATGTTATTCCCCATCCTTTTCTACCCGCAAGGCAGAGTTTTAGAGGGAACGTAAAAACCAGAGATAAAGACAAAAACCACTGTGGCATGCCTGTGAGCAGTGTGGGCAGAGAATCTGAGGGGTCTGGGTGGCGCCCTGAGACCATGCAGATCAGAAAGCAGGTCTGCCACAGGGACACGGAAAGGCCCCGCTGAGGTACGTGGCCATGTGGCCGCCATCTTGGCAGCTGGAAGCCCCGGCCCTCTGGTCCATTCTCAGCCTCGAACCTCAAGGCACCTCACCCTGCAAGCATGTCTTTCTCCATCCCTAGACCCTAGACCCAGACTAGGACGAGGCCCTCTACACCGCTGGGCCCCAGCCCACAGAGAAGAGGCCGGGGAGCTGTGCCCCACAGAGCCCCCAGGAGCCAATGTGCAGGACAGAGATAATCCACTGGGCTCAGGGCCCCCAAGCTCTACACTGACAGAGAGGCCTGCTTTCAACCACTTGACACAGTTTTAGTCTCCCCTGTAGACCTCCGTTTGAATAGAGACCCTGAGCTGAAGAACACTTTGAAAACGACTCCCCAGGATTCACTCTTACCATGTGGTGCACCAGAGTTAGCTTCCTCTAAATCTGGAGACACTACGATTTCTTAGGCATGCCTCAGAGAGGAGGAAGAGGCAGAACCAGAGCAAGAGCAGTTGCAATAGTGCAAATAAGAAAAATAAGAGTAACATCTTGCTCATATGACATTAAGCCATTTAGAACTCAAGCACCGACCATTCCAGTACAAACATTTTTTTGAGCACCACTGAATGCCAGAGTTTAGCGGACAATGAAACAAAACAAAATCCCCGCTCCTCTAGTGGCAGACATAGGTAAGTAGACATCACGACAACACAGTACGACAAAAAGGCTGCCTTGGGTCGTCAACTTCCCCCCCCCGCCCCAGGCCAGAGCCACACAGGGAGCAGAAGGCTTGGGGGCCCGACCGTAGGTACATTTTCCAGGGAGACCAACTTTTCTGTGTGGCACAGTCTACCTCATCTGGCCACCGTGGAAAGCACACTCGACTACAAATCCTAAGTCTCGGCTTCCTCCAGGATGGGCTCCACCACTAACTACTGGGGGACCCAACATACAGAGGAGGCCTCAGGGGTCGCCGAGGTCAGAAACAGAACCTGCATTTCAAGGCAGAGATGCCTGACTGCGCCATCCTGGTTTCCCCCTGGGCCCTTCCGTCCTTGAGGTCAACCTCCCTCAGAGCTTAACGGTAACTCTCCAGTGATTATTTATGAAGAGGGCTTCCTTCTGTCTTAGACAATTTTCTCTCTTTCCTCTTTCCCACCTTTTCCTGTCTGTCCCCCAGGAAAGGGGCAGTTACAACTCCTCTGGCCGTGGGCCGTGGTGGGGGGCCCGGGGTGACACGAGGCCACACACACAGGAGAAACGGGGCGCGGGCACCTCCCCCACTCTCGATCTGTCAACACGCAGGTGCTTCCTCTGTTCACGCTGCAGAAACCAGCACGACTGTTTTTTTCAACATTTTCATTTTAATACCTGGTTGTGGAAAAAAAAAAAAAAAAACTCCACTGTCCTGCTATCTCTCAGAACTGCAGATGCTCCTCTCTCTGTGCTCTTTCCCTCCCTTCAAAGTCCCCTCTCCCCACTTAAATTAAGCACTTGATGTGAATTAGAGTTGCTTACTTGTTTTTACTACAATTCTCTAGAAACAGAAAACCAAAACAATGAAAGCAAGGAAAGGCGGAGCAGGTGACTGAGACCCAGCAAGCTCACCTGAGGGCACAGAGCAGAGGGGACTGACTCCACCTGTGGAGACCACAGAAGACTTGCCCTCAGACAAAGGGGAAGCGATTTGCATAAAGCAAAATCTTTAATCCCTCCTGACTGCTCCCCCACCCTCGCTCTTCCTCTAGAAGTGAAACTAAGTCCCATTCACAGTGTTAGTGGCCGGAGGGCCCTCTCTCTGCCTCTCCCACACTCCTCTCCCGCCCATCCTTTCCCATCTCAGGAGAAGGTCAAAAGCAATTTCCTGCCCTCCAGGTTGAAGTGACTTTCCTGAGGATTTGATGAGCCGCATTTCTTGCAGATCCACACTGAGGCGGACTCGCTGCCCTGTAATCCAGTGAACTTTTAGTGATCAGCAGTCGTGAGTCCTGAGTAGACCAGGTGTTTAAGGGGTACAGAATCCTGTCCCCCAGAAAGCTGGCGTCCGAAGCCAGAAGATGGAGACGTGAAGGCCTGCAAAGCTCCATCTCCCTATCTCTGAAAGGGACGTGATACTGTTGAACGTGCCCATGTCGCAGGGACATCAGGAGACATGAAGTAATAAGGTCTATAAAACGAGGGCAGGAGGGGAGAACACGGCTCCTGCAAAAGGGTAGGGAAGGCTGTCTAGTGACAGATTTTAACCTAGACATTTGAAAAATACACCAGCAGGCCACCCAGATGGTCCATTTATAACACAGTTAAATTCAGAAGCAACTTTTTGGGTTTTTTTAATAGTTGGAAGAAAGCAGTTTTTTTTTTTTTTTCTTTTTGGACCTTTTTTATTACTTGAATGGGAAGAAAAATCAAGTAGAATTCAACAAAATGAACTGAAAATAAACCCCATATCCTCACTTTCCCTTTCTGAGGGGTGAAATGCTGAGTCTGAGTTAGGCCTGATGGAAAGAGAAGTCCCTATAATCACCAAGAGCGGATCATCTGGCCCCAAATAATGCTGGCTACATCCTACGGAAATTTAAATGTGATTTCAACATCCTCGTTAGCATGACACGGGTGCAAGTTGACATGAATAGCCAAATATTCTCACTGCACACTCACTAGGTTAGCACTCTGTTATAATCGCAAGCATGTAACTGTTAAATTAAATTTAAAATGAGGTAGGGTGAAGCTTTTTCTTTCTGGAAAGGAAAGCACATGTCACGATCAGACTTTCTCAACTGCATTACTAGCTTCTAAAATTCTGTTTAACCGCTAACTTTTGCATCAGGAGCACCTGTGATGGAAATCTACTTGGGTGCCTGACTGATTTCAAGGCGAATTCTTTTCAGTAACTGCGTAAGAGACTCCATCCCGGGCAAAAGTGGGATCCAAGGTCACTAAAAACAAATGCAAAAAGCCTCCTCCTGAAATTGTTTTTAACAGTTGTTTTCTCTCAAAAGACCAACCAGAGTACAGAAGATGCACTGGCACTGGGCGATGGTCGTCATCTGCTCCACTGGGTACTCCCCGAGACAGAGCTTGCACGACACCAGCGGATCGAGGGCCAGGTCCCACGTGGGCCGGTACCGCGCTGTGGTCATGGCAGAGCAGTCTGAAATGAAAGAAGTGCAGGCCATCAGACCCCCCCATGCAAACTCAAGCGGGGATCACTTCCGGCTGCAGCGGGGCGGGGTGGGGAGGCCCTGGGAAGGGGCCCACGGTTCTAGACAACACATTTGGGTCCTCTGAGTTGTAACCAGGGGTTCCTGACTTGGGTCTGTGGGTGACCCCTTTCCCATGCTGATGGTAATGATCGTGTCTACCCTCAAAATGACAAACGACCCATCCCATCCCTCCATCCGTCCATCCGTCCATCCGTCCATCCTTCCTCTGGGCATTGAGTAAGACCCCTCCCACCAACCAAGCACCTAGACTAGGAGGGCAAACCTTAGCAAGCATGGAAAAGAAGCTTTTGTTAAAACAGTCTGATTAGATGAAACTGTTCTCCAGTTTCTGCTGCAGGAACATCCCAGGGGAAGCAGTGGGTGAAGCCCCCCCCCCCCCATCCTCAGTGCGCTCCGAATGGAAGGCACCTGTCCTCACTGGCTTCTAGCCACACCGCTCAGAGGTTACCTCGCCCTCCAGAATCAGCCCAACACCACTGCCTCCTTACACGCTGGCAGATTTTCTAACACGTAAGCTTTAGGGGGGCAAGGGCCTGAGGGCAGACTTGTTCACATATGTGGGCCACATGCACCTAACAGTGCCTGGAGTCCACCAAACACTCCATACACACAAATAAAAGCCACTTTCACCTCCTCATCCTCCTGAAACACTCCCTAACCTGCCCACAGCCTGCTTCCTGATAGCACAGATTTTTCTATTTGTATTTATCACACTGATTTCCACTGCTTGCTGCGTGGGGAAGGCAGGGCAGGCGTGTGCCTCTGGTTCGTATCTCAGCACCTGACCCACGGTGGCCTCTCCACATCCGCCTGTCGGGTGAATGAACAAATCCTTGCCTCTGGATATGCATTCTCACCCTGAACTCCTGGTACCCGATTGAAGCCCGTGAGAGTTATTGTGCACCTGCAATCGGTAAGCGTGCCCCTTGCTCCCCAAACTCAGAACTGAGTCAGATTCTGCTAATATTTCAGACCCAGTCCCTGGCCATCTGAACGCTGAGAGGGAGCTCCTGCTATCCAGCTCTCAGGATCCAAACAGATTTAGACAACCTGGCGTCCTTCTCTGACCCCACCATCGAAGTGAGGGACAAATGCTATGGGTAGCAAGAGACCCCTGCATTCCCTGCTAGCTGTCAAGGCCATGACAGCAGGATCTGTCTCGTCCAGCTCACACTTACAGCAAAGGCATGACACGTTATGACAAAGATACAACACACGAAGGAAAAACAAATCAGAACACCAACCAACAAGCGGAAGTTACACAAAACGATTCTAGCATCTTGGAGAGATTCAGAGGAGACACGACTCCCCGCCATCGGGTCTTCAGATTCGATTCAGGAACACTCTTCGCCCAATAAAAAACTAACTGATAATATAAGGCAGGATAGGGTTTATGTGAAAAATCAGTGCTCCAGGTACGTGGTAAAGATGCGACTAAGTCTGGGTAGAATCTTCAAAGTAGAAGAGCTTCATGAGGAAGACGAAGCTTGAATGTGGAAGGGAGGTGACATTTCACGCAGGTAAAAGAGAGTGGCTATCAAAACAGGAGAGAAGATATGCTAACATCTCTCACCAGAGAAGCAAAAGGAACTCTGCTCTGAGACCAACAGGATGCCCAGAACCAGTACACAGGAACTTCGTGCCCATCACCGGCCTTGGTGCACTCGTGCATGCGATGGGGCTGATAATCCCGTCCCCCGGGGTTGCCGTGAGTACCCAGCACATACAGGAAATGCTCAGGAAAGACCCCCAACCCCCTCCCCTGCAAGGTCTCATTCAGCCATCCTTTTATGGATCTGCGAGAAAGACTCTGAGGTGTGAGACATTTCCATCATCTGTACAAGTTACCTCTAGGGACAAGGAGCTGTCATGAGAATTTCTGAAAATGTCTTTCTATCCCTTTCTCAGGTTTTGTCAGCCGTAGCTCACTGGGTATCACTAGGCCAGTGGTTCAGGTAGGACTCAGTTCTGTGGACTGACTCTATGCTGGGCGTCCAGGGTGGGGGAGAAGCTACTGCACCATCTTGAACACAGTCCAAGGAGAAAGACACGGTGAAAAAAAAACCAAAGGAACATCAGTGGTGTGAACTAACATAAGCAGGGGAGAGCCTGACCTTGAAGAGCCCCAGCAAATGAGGGCAGCTACTGAATGAAGGCTGGCTGGAATCCACGCCAGGAGTAAGAACGGAGATCAGCAGTCAGGGCAGGAAAGGGACAGTGCTGGATGGATGACCCAGGACTCCACCCAGGACAGCTAATAACCAGGAACACCTTAGTCTAAACAAAGGGTACTTTCTGTTGTTAGAAAAGAACTCTCTGACACAAATTCAAATAACTGTTGGACTGGTTGGCACCTTCCAAATAATTTAAACAAGCTTCCTAGTTTGACCCGCCGCCAACGGGGCCAACAGCCGGATGACCTGGGGTCACTCAGCTATTTGGGGGTGTGGAGGGAACCAGAGTCAAGATGTGCACTCCCCTGAGTTCATTTTCATTTGGAACATTCCTCCACACTTTGAATCTAAGCATATTATTATTATTATTTATTAGTATTATTATTTTAGATGTCCACAAACAGTTTCTAGATCCTGGGCTCCTGAGTCAGGGTGTTTGTTTTGTTTTGTTTTGTCTTCCTTTATATTCCTCTACATCTTTTTTTGTTTGACTCCCTAATGATTTTTTTTTTTTTTCAAGTAACACTGCTTAAAGCTCACTGTCCAGAGTGATGATTAGGTTTTGACTAGGAATGCTAGCTAGCCCTAAAAGGGATCGAAACCTGTATGAGCAGCATGGCAGGCCCGGGGCAGGGGCTGCTGACTGGTGTGTCCCTCCCAGAGAGTGGGGGTAGGTGGCTGTGAGTTTTGGCCCGGGTTCGGATCCTGGAGGGCACTGTAGCAGCACTCTCTGGGGAAAGAGCTCCCGGCCGCACTGGAAGGGAGCAGACCTGGGTTCAAACCCTTGTTCTGCCACTTGGTCCTTGACTTTGGAGAAACTACATAACCTCTATGAACTTTAATGTTTTTACTTCTTAAAATTAAACACCATAACCTCCCACAAACACTTGTTGTGAAGAGTGAGAATAAATATATTTAAGATTCCTGGGACTTTTAACCTGCCCGGTAGCTGGAAGTCACTATCGTATGTCAGGTTCAAGACCTGGACATGAACCCATATGGACTAACGGGAGAGACAAGCTGCTGAGCAGAGAAACTAGAGGATAAACTCAGTCTCTTTCAGGAAGTCCCCCATGATGGCAGTAATCTCTGGAAGAAGGAAACCAAAACCAAAGCCTCCTGCTTTTTTTTTTAAAAGACTTATTTGTTTTATTTATTTATTTTTTTTAAAATTTTATTTATTTATCTGACAGAGACACAGCGAGAGAGGGAACACAAGCAGGGGGAGTGGGAGAGGGAGAAGCAGGCTCCCCGCTGAGCAGGGAGCCCGATGCGGGACTCGATCCCAGGACCCTGGGATCATGACCTGAGCCGAAGGCAGACGCCCAATGATTGAGCCACCCAGGCATCCCAAGACTTACTTGTTTTAGAGAGAGAAAGAGAGAGAGAAAGCACATGCATGAGGGGCAGAGGGACGAGAGAAGATATCAAGCAGACTGAATGCTGAGCATGGAGCCTGACATGGAGCTCGATCTCACGACCCTGAGATCAGGACCTGAGCCGAAACTAAGAGTCAGTTGCCTAACAAACTAAACCCCCCACGTGCCCCCGAAGCCTCCTGCTTTATTGTCCACCGTCAGTGCGGTCCAAGATTGGACAGCACCCCAGAATGCGTGGCAGAACGGCAGACATCTAGGGACGAACCCTTCAACAGTCCTCACAGCCCCAACTGCACATCCTGGGCAGACGGTGCCTCACGTGAGCGCTTGCCTGCCCCAGAAACCGCTTCTGCCTCTCCGCTGGACTTGTCCTCTCCCAGACTCTCCTCGCTCTTCCCAGCCTCTGGGTTTGGCTCCGTTTCCTGTTTACAGCGTCTCTGAAGACATGACCCTTTGCACAAATGCAGGCTTGACCTCCCGCTTCCTTTCTTCCTGGACCATGATTTCCATTTGACCTCGAGACAGTGTGGCTGCCCGCTATCCTGAGCACGTGTCAGCAGTGGCCCCTCACTTCCCTCCCCATGAACTACTCTCGAAGCAGGTCCAATTCCGACTTCCTGGCACACATGAGTATTCTTTCCCCTCAAGATTAGATACTCTGAGCTGCCCCAAATCAGGATTTAAATGTAGACAACAACGGGACTTATTTTCCAAAAAAAAACAAAAAAACAAAAAAACACGACACTGTTTAAGCCCGTTATGGGCCTCCCCTGCACACAGGACGGGCTGAATACGATTTTACCAACATTGAACAAAGAGCTACAAACCTGAAATGGGAATTTGCTAAGAAAATCACAATGCACAATAACAGAAAACAGTCTTTGTTTTCCTAATGGAAAGGTCAAGTCATATGAAGCCAACTATTTTAAGAACATCTGGTCAATTATAAGCATTACTCAATATAAGTAATTCAAAATGTTTCTGAGGGAAGTGACTTGTTATGCGCCACTGGGTCATGCAGAGTGGGCCTCGTGGTGTAAGATGCACGGACTCAGGAGGAGAAAGGCTGGAAGGGAAGGCAGCCCCCACGTGGACACAGGCAAAGCCCAGTGACGGGCCAGAGCCATCCCAACCCTGTGCTCGAGGCTGTGCACGTCTGGGGGTCCTGATCCTCCCCACCTTCACCCCTGCAAAGACACCAGTGGAAGGTAGGGTAGCTGACAGCCAGGCACTGCCCACCTGTCCCTCTCCTGATGACTCACCTAAGCTGGCTGAGTCTCGCCCCCGTTCCCTCCCATCTGCACCCCTCCCCAGCCCCCACCACATGCGTGAATCCTCCCAGCCCTCCACGCCCACCATCAGCCCCTGGTGTTG